TTAAATTCATTGAATTAACAATGTAATTAAGCAATGCACTATATTTAACATTTCTACGCGTGTGATTTGATTTTTATAATAATAATTGTATGCGCTTTAAACGTTCCCGAAATGCCTGTAAGAGAAGGCGTAAGGTGCTCATAGAGTGTCGCGACGAGGTTGACCGAAGATACCCGAATAAAAACGAAGCGTCACGAGAGAGGCAACAGGCGGTCCGTTTCGAACGGTCGCGCATGTATTGCTCAAGGTGGCTGTAGTCTGCCGTTGGCATTCATCGTGCGTGGATCGTGTTTTCCTCTATTTCTCATTAATACTGTCTCTTGCATTTTCATTTTAGTGCAGTTTCTCATTTATGTTTACATACATATTTATCCACATATAAACATAGATATACACATATTTTTTTTTATTATTCTGACGTTAATACGCGAGTACTACGTTAAAGAAATAAGAAATAAGAAAAAGAAATATTATTCGAGGAAAATGTCGCATTAACTTGTTTTTTTCCTTTACATAGTAGTTAATAAGTTTTATATTTTTCTTTGAACGCGCTCATTGAAAAAAGAATAAAAAATAATAGAGAAAGTATATTATAAGAAAGAAAAATATGAGAATTAGTTTCGATCAGAAAAGGTGACTGAACGAATCGTGAGGGGGGAAGAAGAAGAAAAAAAAAAAGAAAAAGAGTTTTTATCGTGCGTGCGTATTGTGCGTGTTTTTATGTGTGTTGGTGTGTGTATATGTGTGTTTGTTTCAACGGAATAAGTGAGACAGAGAGAGAGAGAGGAGTAAAGTACTCTCTCGACCGTTGTTTAAAATCTTCGTGTAAACAGCCGCACAGCTTTGGAATAGTTCTCTTCCTTCTTTTTTTCTCTTCGTTTCTTAGTCGCGTATTTGTCGTCAAACACGCGGCGATACCCCACCATCATTTAGAAAGAAAGACCGACGAGGAAGAGAGAATCGAATACCATAGGTAGTATAGTATCTCTGATATTCTTTACTGCAAGCAAGCAAGCAAGCAACGTGTAGTACCGGCTTGTTGCATCAACGATTTTCAAGAGAAAGCTTTCGTTTTCGCGAAAACTGTTTGTTCGTTTATTCGTTCGTTTATGTGACGTTTTACCTTCGACAAATAAGAACAAAAATAAGAAGAGAGAAGAATTAAAGAGAAGTGGCAAAGAAGAAAGGAAGTAACAACAGTCACTGTTCTAAAAGAAATAAGAAGAAGAAAGAAACGAGCGTGGGAAGGAAGAAGAATAAAAGAGATAGATTTTGTATCATCTCGATCTTAAAAAAGTTCGTGTTACGGGTCACGTGATTGCCGCGTAAATTTGAAAAAAAAAAAAAAAAAAACAAAAACATGTAAACTAGAGTTCAAGCCCGCCAATTCCTTTTTCTTAATCTTTATCTCGTCGTCGCGATATTTTTATCTCTGATTGTTTTTTAAAACGTGATAATTGATAATTTTATAATAATACAAAGGAACGATATCGATCTGAAGAAAAATGGCGAAGGAATTCCATATGAAAGTTTTCATCTTTGCGTTCTTACTCCCGGTACTTTGCGGTGGAAACGAGTTGAAGGAGTACTGTTCCTCGCACAGGTTCGACAATCTACACGGTGGCTTGAGATTCACTAAGGAGGTCATCAGTACTGAATATACTAACGTAGGACGCTTCAAATCTCTTCATTGTTGTCTACGTGGATATAGAAGCATAGAATGGTGAGATTAATTACAATAATCACATTTATTTTGTTTTTAATATTTTACTTATGTATTTTTGATATTACTCTTTTCGTTGGAATTACATTTTTCTATCTAATTATAATGTTAAATTGATATTCGTCGAAAAGAGAAAACAAATAACATTCGTTAGAAAATATTATTTTATTTATTACGCACACGTATTTAAATAATTGTATTGGTAATGATGACAGTGATCTAATTCAAAGAATAACAACAAAATATAATTTCATGATTAAATAGTTATAAAATAATTAGTAATATAGTATAGTTTTATATAGTTGATATTTTGTTTTTAATTATTTGACTTAATCTTTTGTCATAATGTGTCATAATACTATTCTTCTTTAGTTAAAACGTCTTACGAATTTCATTCATATGCTTCGTCGCTCGCATTCCGTTTATAATAGAAGAAGTACTCTTCTTTCTAGCCCTTTGTGAGGGTTATATATCTTCGTCTTTTTCTCGTTTGCCAAAGCGACTAAACGTGATTCGTTTCGGATGGATTTCGACTTTTCGTCGGAACTATTCGTAACAACGAGACGAGTGAAATGGAATAAGAAAGGAAGGGATTTTAAAGAGAAAGAGAGAGAATGAGACATCTCTCTGATTTCTTGGAACTTTAAACCTTTGATATTAAATTTTCGCCTTTACTTTTGCTGCTAAACTTCGTTCGTTCTTTTTGAACGCAAGAGTACCGAGTAATTAGAAAACTTATTTCTAAAAAGAAAAAGAGAGGACAAAACAAAAATACAAAAAGTTGTTAGAAGTTATAAGAAAGAAAATCACATGATTATTGTGATATTACTTAAAATGATATACATGTATATGTATATATATAATATAGGAGAAAAGTATTGACACAATTCTACATTAAATTGCACCATGTAAATTTCTAAAATATTGGTTTTATTTTATTTTTTTGTTAAATATATTTCTCATGTGTTAAATATGTGAGTATATCGTAAGCAGTTGAAACTATAGAGATTAAATTGATATAGAATAAAAATCAATAATAAAAATTAAATAGTTCTTTATTTTTAGTTGTAAGAAAACTTTTTAATTATTAAAAGTAGTTTATTTTTTTATTGTATTTTATTTGATTTTTATCATACACAATACTTCCATGTGACTTACGATATTAATTTTTATATTTTATATTCAAGATATATATTTTACAAAACAAGGTTAAATAAAAAAAATCGTACTTTTTACAGATCTATCATATTACTAAAAAAATAGTAAATACAGTGGTTAATTAAAATATTTGCGAAGACTAAACCTTTCATTTCGTGTGTATTTGTAAAATAATACGATTCTTTTTTTAATACTTTATTTTTCCTCATAGATATATATTTCTCAAGAATAAAATGTAAATCTATTCTAAGTAATCTAATGAAAGATTAAATTACTATATAGAATAAAAAACATAATTATAAAATAACACAGAAATCCGTTTTTAGTTGATAATAATTTCGGAACCATTAAAAAGAATATTTTATTCTTTTATCATTATCATACATCAATGTAAAAAATCCTTCTATGACTCATAATAAATTTCAACATTTTTATCTTAAAAAAAATAAAAAACCAAAAAAAAAGAAAAACAGGATTGAAATAAAGAATGATACTTTGTGCAGATTTACAAAGGACGCGTTAACTGGGAGAATTTGAATTTAGATTTTAATACTACTTTTGTTCAACTAAACGAGCACACGGTATAGAATATTTCTTTTTAAAGAGGATATATATTTTAAGTTTCTTGGAAAAATGTAAAAGAGAGTGAGGGGGCGATGGGACGGGGGGA